CAGACAAGTCAGTCCAAGACTAATGACATGGCAATCGGCTGCTAAAATATTCTCTGCTAGTATTAGTAGAGAGAAATGGTGCACCTGCGTGTAAGGCATGTAAGGGAAACGAATGCAGCATGATTATGGTAATCAGTCATTAGCAAATGTTGCCGTTCGTTATAAATAACTAGTGGACCGGTGCACAGATTCATGCACTGGGGTGGGGGGGGCGTCCCTCAGCTGGGCCTGCGGGGATCAGACCGAAACTGGTGTGAGGCACAGATTTATGCACTGGTGGGGTCCCTTGGCCTGGCCTGCAGGGTTCGGTCTGAAACCAGCTCTCTGAAATCCCCCATTGGGATCCTGGATTGCGAGAGGGTGCTGGCCAGGCCGAGGGACCCCACCAGTGCAAGATTGGGGCTGGGGAGGAACTGCGGGAGGGTTCCAGGCATGTCCAGCCTGCCTTACCCAGCCCTGATCGGCCGGACCCCAGCAGCAAGCTAACCTACTGGTTGGAGCTTCTGCCCCCTGGTAGTCAGTGCATGTCATAGCGAATGGTCGAATGGTCAAATGGTTGGACACTTAGCATATTAGGCTTTTATATATATAGACTGTGTATAACAGGGTATTGTAAAAATTAAGTTACAAAATTTTTATTAAAGTGTTTCTTACATACCGTTTATATTGGCTGGGCTGCAAAAATATTCATTGTGGTCCACATGCAGCCCGTGGGCTATGAGTTTGACATGCCTGCTGTAGTACTTTTCTAGGGCTGTCATAACAAAGTACTACAGATGGTAGCTTAAACAACAGAATTTTATTTCCTCATAATTCTGGAGGCTAGAAATCCAAGATCAGGGTGTTGGCAGAACTGGTTTCTTCTAAGGCCTCTCCTTGATTTATAGATGGCCTAGTACCCCAGTGTCTTCCTGTGGTCTTTGCCGGTCTCTGTTCTAGTCTCCTCTTCATATAAGGACACTATTATATTGGATTAGGGCCCAACCATACTGACTCATTTTAACCTTAATGACTCTTTAAAGACCCTTTCTCCAAATACAGTCACATTCTGAGGTACTCAAGATTAGGGCTTCAACATACAAATTTGAGGAGGGCACAATTCAGTCATAACATATACAAAATAAAATTTATCATTCTAATCATTTTAAGTGTACATTTCAGTGGCATTATGTACATTAACATTATTATGTAGACATCACCACCATCCATCTCCAGAACTTTTTTTAATCTTTCAGTATTGAAACTCTAACCATCTATACTAATAAAAGGGTAATATGCTAATTAGACCGGATAGACCGGACGTCTTCCAGATGTCCTTCCTGACAAAGCCAGGGGCATGGCTGGTCTGCAAACTGCCTGCGGCCCCTCGCCCAGGCTGCCCCACCCCCCAGTGGGGACCCTCACTCCAATCTGGGGCCTGGCCAGCCTGCAAATCCTCAGCTGCCCCAAGCCCAGGCTGGCCCCACCCCCCAGGAGGGACCCCAACCCCAATCGGGGGCATGGCCAGCCTGCAAACCCCCGACGGCCACTCGCCCAGACTGGACCACCCTCCAGCGGGGACCCCCACCCCTATGGGAGCATGGCCAGCCTGCAAACCACCGGCGGCCCCTTGCCCCAGCTGGCCCCGCCCCCCAGCGGGGACCCTCCACCCCGATCTGGGGCCCCCTTCAGGTCAGGCCAGCCAGCCTTCACCCATGCACCAGGCCTCTATCCTATATAATAAAAAGGTAATATGCAAACTGACCCTAACAGCAGAAAGACTGCTGGACCAGTCACTATGAGGTGCACTGACCACCCCTTGGTCCATTTCTCTGGCCGACAGGCTCTGATTGCCTGATGGCCTCCCACTGCGGGGGGTGGGGCGGCAAGCGGGCGGGAACAGCCGACTCTCGGTCCTTTCCCTGGCCGTCAGGCACCAATCACCGATGGTGAATGAGGAACCAGGGGTGGGTGGTGGCCGGGGGTAGTGCCGGCTGCAGGCAGCTGGGGAAGATGGCCCTGATTGCAGGCCAGGCCTAGGGACCATACCTGTGCATGAATTTTGTGCGCCAGGCCTCTAGTCTATGTATATAAAAGGCTAATATGCTAAGTGTCCGACCATCCAATTGGTTGTTATGATGTGCACTGACCACCAGGGACAGACGCTCAATGCAGGAGCTGCCATGACACACAGAGAAATGGCACTACAGACCTGGCGCCCACAAAGCAACACTTGGCTTCCCCTAAGTGGGACACAGGCCCCGCCACCACCCTGGAGCGACAGCTCACCAAATCACAGCCGATGCTGCCAAGACCCCATGGCGCAAAATGCGGCCCACAGCCCAGCCCAGCCCAGAAACGGTCACTGTGGGTACTGGGTAATGACATCATGTAGCAATGCCGGGCTTCCTCTCCCTAGCAACAACTAGCCTCCTTGGAGTTCCTTCAGCCCAGGAACATGACTTGCTTTATAGCCAGGTGGAAACATTTCACACTTTAACCAAATGTCTGAAGCGTTTTCCCGTGCCTCATCTCATTTGATCCTCACAGGAGTCCTGGAGTAGGTAGGTAGAGACTCGGTGGAATCCTATTTTCTTTTCATTAGCCAGAAAACGGAGATTTAGAAATTTTAGAAACTTGACCCAACTGAAAAGAAGAAATGGTGGACCTTGAAAATGACTTCAGGTTTTCACACTGCGCAGAATATAGTCAAATATTGCTGCAGTTAAATATTTTACCCTTTTTTCTCCCTGTGTGGTCTACAATAATAATCTAATTCATGTTGATATTTACTGCTGTGTTGCTGACCTGAAAGAGACGTTGGTGTGCTTCATTGGGCTAAATCAGAAAGCAGGTCTAATTAAGCAAGTTTATTCTATATCTATAAAAAGCTAAGTTGACTCGTGCATGTGCGATACATATTAAGCACTTACTGGCACCAATCACACATGTGTGTTTCCATCTGTCATTGTCAATCGTGAATTTGGTTGGCACTCTATTATAGAGAAAGGGCTAATAGCGATATTAAAATATTTCTTCTAATTTCCTTTCAATGTGCACAAATTCGTGCACTGGGCCACTAGTTAAATAATAACTCCCTATTCTCCCCTCCTTTGCTCCAGGCAGCCATTACTCTACTTTCTGTTTCTATAAAACATTGTTTGAGACTAATTTTTTCATCACTAGTGAGACTTTGAAGTTCCCCCAAATCAATTATTTTTATGCTAATTATGCCACATATATTCAGATTTTTTACATAGTTAAGTTCTTTAAACTCTGAAACCATATCCAAAATTTTGTCCTTATTTGTCTTTTTTAATTTTTTTTTTAAATTACAATTTACATTCAGCATAATTCTGTGTTAGTTTCAGATATACAGCAAAGGGGTTCTTGAGAGAGACTTGGACCACTCTTGTTTGATTATTTTTCAAGATAATTCAAGGTTTTGATTTTTAAAATTTAATTTTTAAGTTGATAAGTTGATGTGTAATTTGCAAAGAAAAAAGGTAAAAGGAACTTTAAATATCTTGAAGTCTTATTGTTTTGAAATACGTTTATTTGCTATTTTGAAAAAGATCAATAATTACTTTAAAATATCTTTTCTAATTCTCTTCATTTGGGGAGATTTGGTTTTTATTCTTATTTTCCACTTTACTATTTTATATACTGCATTAGATATGTATTATGTCAACTTTGTATCTTATTGTAAATGTAGATATTAAAGAAAAGATTTTCATACAAAATAATCTGTCATAGAGTTATTGTCTTTATTTTATTCATATTTTTATTCAGCACATATTTGTTTTCTATTATATGGTAAACATTGGATATACTACAAAGAAGAATAAGACATGGTTTTTGTCTTTAAGGAGGTAAAAATTGTACCTAGATGGGTCCAAATAAATTATTATGTTTGAAAGAAGAGTAAATAAAGAAGGAATTGGTGTTGGTCCAAATGAGAAATAGTGGAGAAAATCAGAATCCAGGAACTGCAAGGCCTATTGGTGGGTGTCCGGCAGTGGTTGGATATGAATGAAAGAACAGATTTGTACAGACAGAAGGACTCGCTAGTGATGAGGCTTGAACATGGTTGGAGCACAGGTTTTGAAGGCCTTTACTATGATAACAAGTACACCCTACAAGCAGAGAGTTCTTAGACATTTTTAAGTCTTAGAGTGAAAGACAGGATCTGAGACTGTTAGGTGATGTTAGCTACTCTTATTACATAGTAATTAAATGCAATGTGAATGTATTTATACTTGTATAATTTAAAAATTACCATTAGGTGGTTTTTCATAGATTTTGGGGAAATACTGATTATTTCAAATATATTAACTATATTTTAATATATTTTATATTGACATATTTAAATACTTGACATATTTAAAAATAATATTTACCTTCACTTTGTGTCTTTTAATTCCTTTTTTCCAGAGATAAGGAAGACGGGATGGATGAGGAACTAATAGAACCCCTGAAATATGCTGAACAACTTCCAGTAGCTCAGATAATACACCAGGTTTGCTTCCAGTTTATTCTTTTTAAAGAAACAAGTTTTTTAATCTCTGAAAAGTAATTGCTTTTGTTAGGTTTTTCAGAATCAATGTGCTATTGCTGAAGGCATTCCAGGCCGTCTATCCGTGTTTAGACTCCACCTATTACATTTGGGAGTCTCATTTAAAGTACAGTATTAAATGGCTGCTTGCTGTGTAACAGTAGAATTCTTACTTATATAAAATACAGGGTAAAATTAGAATTATCTTTTGTGCATTACTTAACAATAAGACTTAATTCAGGAAACTTTCATTTGAACCATTGTATATAGTACTTATTACTTACTGACAAGGGAAAAGAGTTGAAAAAATATAATTTGGTATAATTTTTTGACTAGCTAAAATGAGAAAACAGTATTTCCCTACTTTTTCTATACCACCCCATTATCAACTCTTGGGAAGTGTAATTTTAGATGTCATGTGGGCAGTTTTTTCATTTCCAATTATAATTCCTCTCATCTCTTCTACATAACTGTAATTTTAGAAAAGGCAGTGTGATAAGTATTTAAACTTACATTTAGTACTGTGATTTTGACAGCATTTAAAGTCTTCCTTGCTGGGTTAGAATCTAAGAATTTGAAATGGTCTGTTGACAAGAGTTATGGCCTTTAGACTTATCAGAATTTCCAGAATCTGTAGATAATAGAAAATATTAAAATCCCTTGGAGGTCAGAAATTTTCAGAATTTTAATGAATGTTATTATTATAAGTCTTTCTATATGTCTTTGTTAATCATAAGAATTTTTATTTAGCTGATATAGGTTGATTAGAAGAGTGCCAATTTGAACTTATTAAAAGAAACAGGCTTTTTAAAATGTTGGCTATAGAGATCTTTACATTGACATTAAAATTTAATATTAAAATTCTGTGAGACATTACAAAAAATGGTCAGAAATTTGCCCCTTAGGGGAAGCCTACCTGTGCTTGGTAATCAGGTTCTGTTTATATGTCAGGAATTCCCTAGAGTTGTCAGAGCCTAAGTGACCTAACAGCCTGCAAATGTCACATTTAAAATTCTGTCTTCATGCCTGAATCTCAGCATAAATGAATTAAACAGCAGAGCAGGAGCAAGTCAATATGTTCTTAACAGTAAGAGTGAGCAATGAAACAGTTTGTGGTTTGCTCAGAATAGGTAAATAGATGCTGCTCAGACCAGTTCACCTACAGTAAAATCTGAAACAGGAAGCAAGAATTAACCTTTAAGATGGTTGGTTGATCAGATGAAATGTCAGTCATATTTTTATAGCAGGAAAGATCCAATAAATTATGGTTTATGTAACAGCTGCATTTTGCTGTTATAGACTGTATGAATTCAAAGATGAAAATTTTTGACCCTGATGAGAACTTTTATCATAATTTTTGCAGTATAAAAAGCTGTATTAATTTAAGCACTAAATTATGAACATTATAGTTATAATTCTGTAGTGTTCAAATTAATAAAAATTCTGATTTTTTAAGAAATTTTCATCATAGGGATTCATTTTCTTTTATTTTTATTGAATAAAATTACTTCTGTTCTCAAGGGGTAATCAGGAAAGGTCATTATTAAACCAGACTCTTATCTATTCCTCTTGCTACTTCCCTGTACTGTCAATACTACAACTTTGGGACTCTTACCATTGTCTGTCCAAGTAGTTGTTAAGAAACATGAATTATGTTGCTAGAAATTCACTTATAAGTGGATTATTTGACAGCAACTTCTCCCCCTAAAAGCATGTGATAATTAGGTTCAGCCAATCCCATAAAAGCTTTTTAATCTGTAACATATGTAAATGATAGTATTATTATAGCATATATCTAACCTCCACTTGAAACTATTTTTATACTATAGTAACTATCTTCCTCTAATCTTGACACATGCTTTATCTATTCATATTTTGGAGCAAATGTGTCATTTCTATTTGAAGTAATGTTATTTATTCACGTTTTCTATCTCCTACTTGATTGCCTTTCTGGACATTCTTGATATTCCTTTCAGCATCTTTCCTTGTACCATGTATGCATGCATCTGAATGGATTGATAGGTATTTTTAATGGTACCCTGAGAGTCAGGAGCACTTCTTTTTCTACTACCCAGGAGTCAGAAGCCAGGGCCTTTCATTGGTAGCAGTTTAGAAACTGCTAGAAAGGAGGAGCAGGGGCGGAAGCTGTAACGTGAGGAGCAACTTAAGAAATAGGAGAGGAATGGGTCTTAGTCAATTAAGTAATTAATATCTTGTTACTCAGACTGCATTTTATTAGCAGGAGTTAGGCAAGATTCTTCTTATTGCTATTTTATATTGCCAAATTGTGTACTATTTTTTAGGGGTCCTAGCAAATATGATTGTACATCTAGGAAACCTATGAGACCCAAGTTATAAACAATAGAATTAACCAGGTAGCCAGATACAAGATAAGTAAAACTGATAGCTTCTCTTTTTTGCAATAAGCACACAGAATGAAAATGGGAAACATTTTCTTTCACAACAATGAAAAGAACAATAAAATACTTAGGAGTAAATGTGATAAGTAAACCAAAGGACCTATATAATAATCTTGGGAACATAATATGTTTCATAAACAGAAAGGTATACTAAATTATTTGATGATATGGGGGACTTAATATAAAAGTATGATTTTTCCCAAATTATTGATTCTAGTTAGAATAGAAACAAGTTTTGTATGTGTGTGTGTGTGGTTTGTTTTTTTTAATGTTAGGGAAAAAATGACTGACTTCTAAATGGATACAGACTTTCTATTTTTTTGGAGTGATAAAAATGTTCTAAACCTAGATAATGGTGATCATTGCATAGCTTGGTGAATATACTAAAACCTTTGAGTTGTACACTTAAAGGGTGAACTTAAGGTATGTGAATTATATTGCAATAAAGATAATTTTAAAGTTAAAAATCATCCATTTCTGGCAGGGATGCTAGGAATAAGATAATTGTATACCTGGGTAAATATCTCAATTATTTTTATCTTCTTAGAAGTCATCTTGCAACATCTTATATAATAAAGAGCTATTATGCAAATGGTCATCACGCCCTCGCGCTGGAACTGCTCAGGCACTCAACACTGGGGAGAGAGGAATGGGGACCAGCCAGGCACAAATGAGCTCTCAAGAGAGGAATGGGGATCAGCCAGGCTGCGGCCCGGGAGAGGGACAAGCCACATGCCCCGTGGTCCCGGGTGCCAGCGGCTACGCCTGCGCCTGTGGCCTGGGAGAGGGACAAGCCATGCGCCCTGTGGTCCCGGGTGCCAGCAGCTGTACCTGTGGCCCGTGAGAGGGACAAGCTACCTGCCCCGTGGTCCCGGGTGCCTGCGGCTGCGGCCCAGGTGAAGCCTGCGCCTGTGGCTGCGGCCAGCCTGGGCAAAGCCGGCCCGGGTCCTGGGTGCCTGCGGCCAGCCAGAGGAGGGAATCTTGGGTCCCAGGTGCCGGGTGAGGCAGAGGCAGTTAGGGGCGATCAGGCCAGCAGGGGAGCAGTTAGGGGTGATCAGGCAAGCAGGCAGAGGTGGTTAGGGGCAGTCAGGCAGGCAGTCAGGCAAGCAGTTAGGAGCCAGCGGTCCCGGATTGTGAGAGGCAGTCGGACATCCCCCAAAGGGTCCCGGATTGGAGAGGGTGCAGGCCGTGCTGAGGGATGCCCACACCACCCTCCCCCCCGTGCATGAATTTCGTGCACCAGGCCTCTAGTCTTTTCAATATTTAATATATATATTCTTCAACCCAGTGGTTCCATTCATGAGTATCTAGCATGTACCACTAACATATAAATTAAAGAACTAATATATACGAATCGTAGTACAGTGATATTCATATCAGCCTTACTTGTGACCACAACCAATTGGAAACAATGTAAATGCCCCTCTGTCTAGTTGATATAGATCACCTAGCTAGCCTGGAAACCCCAGTATGTGTGTGGATTATATCAGTGATAAAGGTCACATTACAGATCAGTGAGAAATTAAGGACTATTCATTAAATGATGTTGGAACAATTAAGTATTTTGGCAGACACTTGGAGAATCCTCCCTGAAAACACTAGCCTAATATAAAAATAATACACATTTTGACATTTGCACGACCCCAGTTTAATAGCCATGTCTCAGTCTGTTTTGCCCCACTAGAAGCCCAGCAGTTGACAAGTGCTGCTAATAATGCACAAAAGTCTTCTGATCAGTGTTTTATTTTCTTTTAACTATGAAGATACAACCAAGAATCATCAGACTTTTAGGGAATATCTTCATTATGAAAGACAAAGATCAAAATAAGCAAACGGAAATTAGCAAATTAGCAAATACAGATAATGCCAAGCACTGAAGAAAACATCGTCATCATCATCATCTTCATCATCATCATCATCACAACCACTGCCACCACCACTTCAGAAAGAAATGAGAAAATATTTTATTTATGAAACAGGATACTATATAAAAAAGGAATATTCAGAAAACAAGGAATAGCTCTTAGAAATTAAAACTATGAAAGTAGAAATAAAAATTTCAGTAGAAAGTTTTGAAGGCAAAGTTGAGGAAGGTGGGACAAAAAGACAAAGAGAAGGAAAATTGGAGGAATACTTCTTGTGAGCAGAGTCACTGACAGGTATTTATTCTGGATTATCTTGTCGAGGATGTTTGTATACTGAACAGTCTTGGAAGATGGAAATAGTGACTCCCCCAGGAATAAAGAGCAGATTTGCTTACTGTGTAGTATAATAAAGATAATGTTTTCCTCCAGGGCAAAGGTTGGACAGATTTTTTGTGGCCTCAAAAAATATTCAGTATTTCCTAATCTGGGGATTCTTTGTCTGTTACAAAAAACCTACTGTATGCATAACTTCTACCTAGTCCTGCCACTACATTGTCCCCATGGGACTGGGAGGGCAAGGAGAATTGGCATAGACAGGAAGCTCAGGCAGCTGTGCGTAATACAGTTCTTTGTCTCTAACCTAGGAGTCTCATGTGTTCTGCCAGTATCTATGAAACTT